CCCAGGTGTATGAAAAACCCTGACAAAAATCTGAGAAAACACTGAAAATCAACAAAAATTCGAATTTCGCGCGCTTTTACCGGCAGTTGGCCTAGAAAACTCACACCTGGCCGCTAGGTCACCGGTTCACACTTTGACTATTCAATGCCGTTTTTTTCAATAAAGGAATTTTTTGAATTTTTTCTTTATTTTTATGGGGATCTAATTGGATTTCTGCACAAAATAAAGCAATAAAATTTTTCACCGCACACCACCTTTAATTCTCGAAAAAGAAAACAAAAAGAATTTGCCGCCAGCAGGGGTCGAACCTGCGACCTTGGGCTTATTAGACCCACGCTCTAACCGACTGAGCTATGGCGGCTGTTGGCAGGGAAAGGGCAGATTCTATACATAAAGAGAAATCGGGGCGCCGGCAACATTTCGCGACATGAAGAGGAAAGAAGGGGAAACTCGGCAACGCTCTTGCACTTGTGAATTTCTCTTGTCGAGAAAACTTCAAAAAGAGAGTGTAAACTTGAAAACGTAAATACCAAAAGAAGAGGTATGTTCGATGGATCTGTAGCGATACTTTGAAAAGTCCAATTACATGAAATTGAATTTTTGCAATTTCAATTTCTAATTTTCAAACAATTTTTTCAGAATCATTTTTCAACAAATCGGTGAATCCGATGTTTACTCCTGAATTTCCTATTTGATTATTAATCTGGAACGTGTCCAAAGGTCCCATAACGACAACTACCATAACCTGAAAAAAATTCCAGTACCTAAAAGTGGGGTTTTTAATAACCTCAGCAAAATCACTTGTTAACCCGTGTATTTGTATCTGCTTTTTTTTTCCTTGTTTTCCACGGTCCCACTATCTATTTTATCGAATAGAATACACACGTGTGTTATAAAACTTTCGAATTTTCTCTTTCCTCTCTTCTCCGGCATTCTCCCGCCAAATACAAACAGTACAAAGACGTGCCGCGGCGCTAACCGTGGAGAGACGCAGGTAGCGACGACGTCATAGTTGCGGTGTTCTCTAGAGAGAAATTTGAAAAGGAGGAAATGAACTTTCAAATGATAAAGGTTGTCTGGGAGGTTTTTGTGAGTCTGGGAACCATAGAAACCTGAGAATAACTTTGAATTGTCTGAGAGAACTATGAAAATAATGAATAAGGTTTTGGAACTGTAATTGTTTTCTAGATGGGAATTAATAAAAATTGTAAGTTTAGTATTTTAGACATGACGTCTACAGTAATCCCTTTGTTTTCTTGGACAGATGGTGTGAATTCGCTTTGGGCGTCGGTAGTTTTGTTGGCAGGTGAATCGTTTTCATTGTTTTCGGAGACGATTTATGAAAGAAGTGGTCCCCTCAACAGATCCATCTAGTTCGTTGTAACGATTAGATAACTTTCTCTACCTTCAATAGTAGACTGTGTGTTGGAATGTTAATCGTGGAAAAACCAATATCACTTCAAAAGGATAGGACAATAGAATATGATAATAAATAAGGGGAAATCAGACAATGGGACGATAATATAGTCAGGAGAAATGTAATAATGGGAAAAAAGTAAATAAAAGACCAGGAGTTTCAATGATCACCGTTGGCACCATGCCAACATTCTTATTCAGAGAGGAAAAAATATAAGGAAAAGGAAATTTCCCGAAATATGAATGACTCCTGACATTTATCGAAATTGAATGATAAAACGTTCGAAGTTCTGAAGTTGTGGTATTGTCTGAAAATTTTCCAACCTTATTAACGTTTCTTTTGTAAGATCTCATCATTGTTGTTTTTTCCTATAGGCCGTTGGCAGATGATGTTCAAGACAATGCTGACAATGTGCAACAAATACAGTAGTCGCATACTCATCCATCACTCATAAAGAACACTAATTAGGAATAAAATGACAGTTTATTGCCTCTTCAACTGGCTGTTAGTGAGGGTCACACTATCCGATTGAAGGGTGCAGAGAAAGAATTTGAAATATGGACTTTGGTAAACTAATTCTGAAACATTTATAAATAGGAAATTAAGAGTTAAGTCGAGAATAAAACAAAAATCCCAGAAGAACAAAGAAAACTAATTGTTTCGAGTTTTTTTCAAATTTTCAGCCCAGTACTAGCACATTTATTTTTGAAAATTTAACCAATTTCAACTCTTCTTACTTGGAAGTTCTTTAGAATCTGCGAACATACTTTTCTATAAAGGAAACTCTCCAGAAAACAAACAAATTACACTGAAATATGTGTTTTTGGGTCAACAAAATTTGAAAGTTGCACCTTGCGCGGCGCGTTTCTCGGAGCAGGTGCTTTTCATTCTGTAAGCTCTAATTGTTCGGATTTTTTGTTTTTATAGAAGAGAAATGTTTTCTCTTCAAGAATATATATTTTTCTCTTAGATTCAAAGACAAGAAAGTCTCTTAAATACATTGAAAATGCGGTCATCAACATCAGTTTTCAACTTCTTATCGGTTTTTCACGGGAATGACTTGTTTCCATTGTGTAATATTTAGTCTCAACTTTTAGAAAAAGTGATTCTCTTCCAGAATATAATGGAACAATTTGTAAAACAATTTTCATTAATTGACAAATCTCATTTCTAAATGCCAAATGTAAAATTACGCGAGACCAGCGTATTTTGCTGCCTGTAACTTCGTTGTATTTCCATCTATAAAATTTAAAAGGCATGTGAACTGTGTATTCGACTTCAACTTTACAAAATTTCAGAATATAAACCCCATTTTGAAAGGAGTTACGGTCGTTATTAGTAAATCAATCACACAATGCCAAACCGTGCTATTCGGCGGTAGGGGGGGGGGCGGGGCGATGTGTCCCCGCGGGGTGGTGGATTTTCATATATAAGCAGGGTGTACAAACACCATACCCCTCAGTCTTCATTTGAATTCACCCCTCTCTCTTGTGTTCAAATCATGCACTGTTTTGCAATTACCCCAACCCCAGAAGGCTCTCCAGCCCCAGAAGACTCTCCAGTCGCAGCCCAAACTACTCCAAAGCGCCCAGCCGCTACCCCAGCAAAGGCAAGAAAAGCTAAGAGAGGTCCAGGACGCATGTTGCCATACGTGACAATGATCCGAACCGCGATTACCGACTTGAAGGAGAAAAAAGGATCCTCAAAAGCTGCTCTCTTAAAGTACATCTCGGCCAATTTCAATCTTGGAGACGACGTTCACAAGGTAAATTTTTTGAAAATTCTATTCGCTGGGTTTTTGAGGCGAAATTTTTGAAGAAAAATGGATTTTGGTGAATATTTGATCAAAATTTCTTTGTTCTCGCTGGATTTCGTAGAGCTCCGAAACTTTAAAATGATTATTTTGACAAAAAAGTATCCAAAATCATCAGAAAAATTGTTTTTCTTGGAACCCGGGCCAAGCCAAAGCCGACCCGGAATGCGCAAGTACCGTAAAACCTCTAATAGAACGAAACCCGGATCGTCCACTTTGAGCCTATATATCTCACTTCTTTTGAAAGATATCGAAAAGTGGTTAACTAGTAAAATGTTTATCAGAATATCAGCAACATTTTACTAGTTAGCCACTTTTTGATATCTTTCACAGAAAATGAGATATATAAACTCAAAGTGGACGATCCGGGTGTCGTTCTATTAGAGGTTTTACGGTATGTTCACGGCTAATTCGTAACTTTCCCTATTTTTCAGATTAACCGCCATCTCTGCGCCGCCTTGTGCCGCGGTGTTAAGGCCAAGAAAATCACACAAACTGTTGGAAGTGGAGCCAATGGCAGCTTCAAAGTGCCAGCGAAGGTCGTCAAGAAGAAGAAGACTGCCAATAAGACTGGAGTCAGAAAGACTGCTAAGAAAACCGTTGCTCCAGGAGCCGAGAATGTTGTCCCAAGTGGCGATGCTGAAGCCACCGATGCCACCTCTTCGACCGCTGCTACCGAGAAGAAAACCTCCAAAAAGGCTGGAACCGCTGCCCGTGGCAAGGCGTCAGCTACCGGAAATAAGGTTAAGAAGATCGCAAAGCCAGTCGCCAAGAAGCCGGCTAAACCATCGGTCAAGAAGTCTGCCAAGAAGGCTGCTGTAATGAACGCTGCTCCTGCTGCTTCGACTGAGGTTGCCGCTGCTCCTGCTGCTTCTGCTGAGGTCGCTGCTGCTCCAGAGGCTTCCAAGACCCCAAAGAAGTCAGAAACCAAGGCTGCCGGCAAGAAAGCCGGAAGGAAAGTGAAGAAGGTCTCAAAGCCAGTCGCCAAGAAGATCTGTAAGTTATCGGCAAAAAAGATTTCTGAAAAGAATGTTTTTCCAGCTGTGACCGCCGCCAAGAGTGCTACCAAGAAGGACAAGACCAAGGCTGCCGTTGCCAAAACTGAGAAGGTTGTCGCTAAGCGAGCTTCAAAGCTAACAACTGCAAACGAAGCTCCAGAAGTCGCTGTCGCACCTGAAACTCCAAAGGCTAAAAAGGCTGTGGTCGCCAAGCAAGCTTCAAAGAAAACCGTCGCCGAGGCTGAGAAGAAGACTGTCTCCAGGAGAGCTACAAAGCAACCAACTGCCAACGAAGCTCCAGAAGCCGCAGTCGCCGCTGAAACTCCAAAAGCCAAGAAAGCTATCGCCAAAGCTGCTCCAAAGAAAGCCGTCGCCAAGGCTGAAAAGAAGTCTGTCCCCAAGCGAGCTACAAAGCAACCAACTGCCAACGAAGCTCCAGAAGTCGCTGTCGCACCTGAACCTCCAAAGGCTAAAAAGGCTGTGGTGGCCAAGCAAGCTTCAAAGAAAACCGTCGCCGAGGCTGAGAAGAAGACTGTCTCCAGGAGAGCTACAAAGCAACCAACTGCCAACGAAGCTCCAGAAGCCGCAGTCGCCGCTGAAACTCCAAAAGCCAAGAAAACTATCGCCAAAGCTGCTCCAAAGAAAGCCGTCGCCAAGGCTTCAGCCAAGAAGGTAACCAAGAAAGCTTAGATTGTCAAATTATCTCCAATGTTTGATGATCTCAATCTGCCAACCTACCTTGTCTCTTCTTGCTTCTTCCGTTTCTTGTTCTCTTATGCTCATGACCTGTTCCAGCATAAGAAATCACCTTGTTAATTTACATTCTTTTTGTTAAATCCCTGTTTCATCAATAAACGTTAATAAACCCCCCAAAAAAGTGTTCTGTTGTTTTCTATTCAGAGTCCTCACCATCGTTTCGCCAATCGATATCGTAGTCGTCTTTGTTGCTCTTTCTTCTCTTCACGGGTTCAGCTGTCAGGGGTCTGTTGATGGATGACAGTGTCGAACAGTGTGTTGGGAGTGCGCACGACATGTGTTGTGTTGTGTTGCGTTTGGTTGCTATGTTTGGCACTGTGCCAGATTCATTGTGTGACCTCTCTTTCTGCGCACTGTCCGTCTACCAAGCATCGTCGTTGTATCGGAGTGATGCCAGCTGGGAGGGAAAGGGGAGACGATGTAAGAATGTACAGGGTGCCGGAGAAGACAGTTTTTAATTCAAATTTAAAGTGAAGGCACATCCTTATGAACACCGTTTTTCCATTATTAAACAGCACAAGCAAGGCAAGTTTCTTAACAATATTCGTTTAATAGTAAGAGTCACAGTCTGGAAAGCCATCAAAAGTTGCGAAGAGACTGGTGTTGGTATAAATCGACTAAGAAGCGACTGTTCAATAAATTCCATCGCTTCTGAGCAAGTGAAAGAAGTTCGGGAACAGACGAAATTTTCGGGAAAGCAAATGGTTGAAAATGTTCAAGTGATGGGTCTTGTAATCCCTCAAAGTTAGCCCGAAGCCAATAATTTTAAATAAGAGTTGTTCAGGTGTCATATGCTTACTTGGAACATTCAAGTCTCGGCAAAAGTACTGCAGGAGAAAAAAGAAAACGGCATGCCTATTTCCTTCAGCTTCTGTTCTACCCAAACGGTCAACTTTGAGCTCAATTATCTCGCTTCCAGTGAGAGCAATCAAACAATTGAAAACTGATAAAATGTTAGTGATGTTATGTTAAACAATTCCTTAGTTGACCAATTTTTGATATCTTTCACAAGAATCGGGATAATTGAGCTCAAAGTGAACGTTTTAGATGGGCTTGTATTCGAAGAACTACGGTAACTTCCTTAAAATGAGTTGATTCAACTTCAAGTTTCAATAGGAATTTTATCGAAAAACTTATGATAAATTGAGTTTGTAGTGCTTCGATTCTAGCACCTTTGTTGTTGACGGTATTTTTTAATTCACCAAACCAAACCACTTTTCCGTACCGGAAGAGAATAATTTCTTGAGAACATTCTAATTTCTGTGAGGACAAGCTTGAAATTTAGCTTTAGAAGCTGTTTACAACTATCGGATGAAAGCTACGGATGGAACTGGGGGGAGATCTGCTTTGCACTACTTCTGAAACGTCGGAGCAGGCGCTCCATTTTCATGAAAAGTCCGAATTTCCTATCCAAAAAAATATAAAAAAAAAGCAAAATTCGATATCTAGGAAAGTTTATTTGATAGATAAAGGGATACCGTAAACACTCTAATAGAACGCCACCAGACCGTCCACTTTGACCCTATACATCTAACTTCTTCTAAAAGATATCAAAAAGTTTTTCACTAACAAAATGTTTATCATGATATCAACAACATTTTATCAGTGGACCACTTTTTGATATCTCTCACATAAAATGAGATACACGCGCTCAAATTTGACGATTCGGGTGGCGGTCTATTAGAGTGTTTACGGTAATTATGGTTTTATACAAGTCAGAGAAAAATACTAATCGAAATCAAAATGAGTGAGAGATGAGGGTTTCAGAAAAATAAGTTCGAGATATTATCATCAAAACAAATAAAGAGAAATAAGTGATAAAGCAGGAAATACAAAGCTATGGTCATGGGAAAATGTCTACAAGTGTGGAAGTTATGGGAAACAAGTTGATCACAGTTTTTCTTGTATCTGGTTCATTCAACGACTTCAGTGCGAATGACAAGAACTGGATACCGGACTATACCTGAAACAATTCCTGAGTTTTCTAAAATTACATTGTCAAAAAAAAACTAAAAAACTCACGATCCAAATATGATTTTCCTGATTTTTTGTACTCCTTCTGAAGACGATAAGCACGTAGAGATACCATATTATAATATTCGTCCCGATCATCACATTCTTTGTATGCCTTCGCTTCAATTTTCTCCAGCTTCCTTGTTATGGAGTCCATACGACCTTCCAGGTAGGCAAATGGATCTGGTGGTGGGAATAGCATCGAGCCCAGTTTATCCACAACAGTCCGACGAAGTTTTGGGGTGATTGTTGATTTTGCTATAGCTTCATCAGCTGCCGATGGACCTTGCGGGTTCTGCTCTTCATCAAATTCCTCAAGCTCTTCTTGTGTGAGACCCATGAAATCAGCGAGTTCGTGGGACAAAGGGATGTCGCCATATGCTGAAAATAATGCTGCTTCGAACTTTTCCGTAACATTCTTCTCCCACACTCACGATCATTGCTGTCGGCTCTTCTCGGTCGCATTTCCAGAAGTTTCTGCATTCGGTACATGAGTCTTGCCAGCATCGCATAATACTCATCTCTAGAATGTGCTCTTTCGAACGCCTTCTTCTCCAGATACTTCACATATTCTTTGAGCTCTATCATCCTAGCATCATAATTGGCATTGATGTTGGGGTGTGGAACGACTACGCTCACAATTTTCTCCATCAGGTCTTCACGAGCTTTCATAGGTAGAGGATTTGGAATAATGATGTCAGGTAGTTCTTGATCATCCATCCTTCACCTGCAAAATCAATTTATTGAGCTCAGAAGAAAGATAACTGAATACGAATATATTTACGAAAGTTTATTGATATTAAGAAACATTGAAACCGTTGAATCCGAATTCGGAAGATGACTGAAGAACAAGAACGACGAATGTTTGAAGTCCGAACCCCGAAATAACGAAAACAAGACCCATTCGTCTACCCGCGCGTGATTATCCAAGGATAACGGAGAGAATGAGAGGCGGAGTTCCCGGTCGAGGGCCGATGTCTCTTTTTTGTAGACGGGAAGAAGCACAAGAAGAGGCCCCGGAGGTGTTTGGCGCTGTGGTGCTCCTCACAAAACAGCATTTGAGGAGACGACGCGTAGTGTGAGCCCTTCGGAGCTCCAGGATCTGAATGTATGATTATTCGGATCCTTGCCCAGCAGCAGCAGGCGGCAATTGTCGTCTTTCCTCTCTAAAAGAAACAAGAACCAAATGGAGCTTCTTCGTTCTTCTTCTTCTTCTTCTACTCGCACCAACTCCCCCCTATCTCACTTTTCCTCATTCTTCTTGGCGCCGCCTTCTTTTTTACTCCTTATGGCTCTCCTCGTTGACTCACCCACACACCGAAAATGGGGTGGCGGAGAGACGGAGTGGGGGCAAAGGAGCCTCATAGACAGATAGAAAACAACTAGCGAGATGGAGGCGAGAGTCCTCTTTTTCTACTTCTTCCACAGGCGTCGCCTGCCGTCGTGCTCCTCCTCGTGGGCTCCAAGTGTGGTGTGCGAGCAATGTGGCCCGCCCAGACAAGCTGTGGAGGGACGGCTGAGCAGTTGGATGCTCTTCTTCTTCCGAGCCACGAGGCGAAATGAGCCAAGTGCACACCGCTCCCGACGCTCGAGAAAAGGCCCTCCGGCGGAGCTTCTTGTTGAATTTGCCTGCTCTCGTCTTCTGCGTGTTGTAAGGCAAGAAGAGCGAAGACAGACGGGAGGAATATGTGTGTTGGTGGTGTCGGCAGAAATGTGTGGCAGCGGGCAAGATGACTTCGCCTCTTCTTGAAAACTAAAACTACAATGAATAATTGAGTGGGGGGGGGGGGGGATAACTAGGAGCAGATGATGGCAGGAAGACCACCGGAGGATATGCTAATAGAGTTTCGTTCAACTGGGGGTTTGAGAAATGGGTTCAGAACTTTGGAGATGTTGTAAGGGTTACTGTATCCTCTTTCTTGAAAAATGCTTTGTGGCTCGCTTGGCAGTGGAAAAACAAAAAATGAGCACTACGAAAGTGACCATAACACTCGGGCAAATAATTCGCGTTTTAGAACTACATTGGTTTATTGAACGATATAGAATAATACAATAGAGGAGTTTTTTTACTGGTTACATGATAAATAATTTAATCAAAGAAAATGATTGCGGGGGATGTGATGCACATTCCCCGGTAGATCACCACCAGAAAAGTGCGACGTAGCACAATTTGTTCTTAATTTTCCAGATTTTCTCTAGTTCCGAGATAACTTAAACCGAAAATATAATATTTTCAGATAGTACACTAATGGAAACGAGGGATATGAAAATACAAGAATGGGACATCGAAAACTTTTTATTGTGACTATAAAGTTTTTTATTCAGGTTCTCTCCTGTGCCTCTGGTATGAATCTTCTGTCTATCAACTTCTCTTTGTCCATTTATCTCGGTTCCTGATAACGACGTCAGAATTTTGTCAACTGTTAGATTATTCATCATAATATTACAAACATTTTATCAGTTGACACACTTTTGATACCTCGCATAGGAGTTCAGACAATTGAGCTCAAAGATGACTATTTCAGTTTTTAAGGTAATTTGCTAATTCCTAGTTCCAAGTTTCAGAGTAGGGCCCCTTCGATGGCATACAAAGAAATTAACGATTTAAAGGAAATTTGGGAGATTGGTTAGAAATTCCCGACCTTGTCAGTACTAATCTATTTATTATTCAACATGAATTCATATGCGTACACAAATTGGAGAACTATCCTAGCGGTTTCAATTTCCCTTCGTCCCACATTTTGAACGGCTCAATTTCGGTTAGAAACCCCTCTTTCCCTGTTGCTCATGTTCTCTTCAAATTCAAATCAAAACCCTGACGCGTTTTTCATTTCGGTTCGCTCTTCATCTTCTTTTTTCTTCCAACGCCACCATTCCTAATTGGGTCTCATCGATTGTGTGTATGGCGAGAATGTGTATGTCAGTTATATGGGTGTGTACTAGTACTACTTCATACTCTCATCATCGTATTCAAATCTGAAAAGTGGCTTATTCTTGTTTTTTTTTCCAATTGCGGATTTACTTAATCCTTCCGTAGTTTTCTTGACTTCCGTTTAAAGAGCAAAGTCTTCCACTTGCAACTTGCTATTGATTTGCTGTTAGTCATGCTGTTATCATCCGTTTTTAATCCGAAAATCGCCAAAATTTCTAATCATTTCCAATAAATCCTATTTACACTCATTCATCGTTTTTTATTCTTCATCTTCTCAAAATTTCCATCATTGAATTGGTTTTTTTTTATTTTAGCGAGCCTCATTTTCATTATTAAATTGTCTTCCGAACTCTGAAACAGTGTTTGGGCCACTATTTTTTTTCAAATTCAAAAAAATCGTTTGTAAAAACATTAATTTTCCCTCATCCAGCTGTTCTCCGGTCGCTCCTGACGTGATTCTCATAAACGGACTCCGAAGTCTGAATCGCTCTACCAGTAACTCTGAAACTTTTTTTTAAGCATAAAAACTTACCCTGTGTATTCTGATCCGTCTTATTCTGAACACTAAGCAGTGAATATTGAAAAGTTTTTTAAATTTTCCAGTTTTTCCACTATTAATCACGTTCCACCCAAAAAAGAATTATTATGTTTGTCTCTCTCTCCATTAAATGTTCATAGAAACACGCCTCTCTTCTATGTATGCCACATAGTCCGCAACGACGCGCACAACAACGACACTCCGCCCTTACGCCCCGCGCGTTGTTTAACAGTGATCTCTCCCTTTCTTGTCTTGTTTCCTCTACTCATTTATCGGTTTTTCTTCTCATTTTTTTTATTTTTCTTTTTTCGCTAGTTGTTTCAAGCTGCATTTGTTGATTTTTTTTGCGGAAAAAATAGTTTTCGTGATATAAAACGTATTTTCATGAACAGTTCTCCATTTTTCTATTTATTTATCCGTTTTTTTTTCATCGTAGCCGTGATAATTTTCGTTTCTTCCAGGTTAACCAGTGTCGTGATTCAACATATCAGAGATTGATTAGTGTTATGGACTTGTCGACTGAAGAATCGGAGAAACCTGCCATCGGTGAAGAACCAATAGATGCTGTAAGACCTCAAAATGGGTTGTTGGAAGGCGCACCGCCTGGCGATACTGCTTGTGATGGCGAACATGTTGAGAACACCAATGGAGTCGAAAACGTGGAGCCAAAGGAGGTCGCCGTGGTCGAAAGTGGTCCACCTATGAAACGACAGCGTTTGGAGAATGTCAATGGGAATGGAGCAGAGGCGAATGGAGTGAAGAACGCTGGAGAGCACAACGCGCTGGAGACTATGGAAGAAAATGGTGTAGAAAATGGTGGACATCCGGAGGCGGTGATGAGCAATGGAATCGCTGTAAACGGTACGAGTGCAGATAACGGTGCGAGTGCAGAGAACGGTGCGAGTGCAGAGAACGGCGAACCTGTTGTCAACGGAATCGGAGCTCCAACTCTTGACAAAGTCGTTCCAGTTCTCGAGACTCCGACAAAAGTAATCGAGGATCAAGAAGAACGGAAGGTGAATAGGAAGATTCCAGCTGCGAAACGTGAGAAACGTGAGTTTAATTTGTCTGCTGCGAACAAATCTCTTTCTGCGTTAACCAAAAAGAGACTTCCAACCATTCGAGTCCGCGCGTCGATTCTGAGCCAGCACGGGCTGATTGATAACTCACGTCAAATTTAAATTGTGAGCAAAACAGCCAACAAGATGATAGAGCTCGAAAAGCTCTTGAAAAAGAATCGACCTGCTTCAAAAGTGGTATTATTGTCCGGATCGACTTGTTTAGCCGGTCCGCTAATTTTGCCTTGTCCGAATGTTGAAGGTTGGCCCGCACCCGGTTACTGATTTGAATGTCGGTTGTTTCTGATTGAAGTTTGTAGATTTCATCGAGCTGTCATGTCTGATATGTTGTTTTGTTCATAATTCCCGTCGAAAAATTCCAGCTCATTTTGTTCATGTTTTCGGAAAACCAATGGGATTGATAATTTTGTTATCACTATTGAGCGTCAGTTAGATAGTGGTGGCAACAGAACAATGGCTAGTTTTTACTTGAAAATGTGTCTGAACGGGCGCCTCAATATTGATGATGATGCTACATCGTTTGAGTTATCGAAAAGTTGTCAGGCAAATTTCCTGCGTTTCACAACTGCTGATTATTTTGGTGACATTTGATCAAGGCCATAGCTAACATAAATTAAATGACAGAAACTGAAGTTGATCGAAATTGGGTCTCTATCGGCTTTCCTTTTGATTAACTTCAAAAACATCACCTGTCAATACCTTTCCCCAGCTTTAACACTTTTTCTAGGACCAAAATCACAATTTTCAGTCACCCAAATGGCTCCTAATACTTCACAGGCACCAGAGGAGGAGGAGGAAATTGAACCACCACATAGAGCACAAATGGACGCTGACTTTCGCTTGGCAACGCGTTTACAAGAGGAGGATGACAAAGTCGCCAGGGAAGAGGCCAAAAAACGTTATGAGCAACAGGCATTGGCAATTCTTAAGCGACGTAACGCTATTCATCCATTATTAGAAAAAGGTGCGTCTCCCAACTTGTTAGTTCCCCAATCAACGTTTCTGACACTTCCAGAAGTTCCAACTGCCTGCGAAATCGACAAAGCTGATAAGTTGTTCAGTCGGTGTATCACCGAGCGTCAGAGTGTGTACGTTCCTGCGCCAATGGGCTTGATTGGATACAACATAAACTATTATATTGATGGTTATATGGAAGTGCTCAATGGAAATCAATTTCCACTCGACCCCGTCATAAATGAACCAATCCGAAATACGACCCATACGCCGGGATATGACGATGTTGTTGACACTCCTGTAAAAGATTCATCTGACAATCTCCATGAAGGCCAAAACATTGAAGTAGGAGAATATGTAACAGTGTCTGCCGAATCAAGTGACCAGCAAGGTGGTAACCAGCCAGGACCATCTAATCGTCCGGTTAATCTTCCACGCTTCGCACGCACATTCAAAGAAGAGCAAGAGGAAATAAGAAGGGCCATCCGGCTTTCTATGCAAGAATATTGTGTGAGTGCTTTTGAAATTTTTCTGTACCGGTCAATAACATATACCATAATGTGTTTTTCAGTTAATTTTGTCAATTTTCTAGAGTTTAGAGCTTTGCTGTAAAATCTCGGATCTCTGTGAAATGTTTGGAGGTTATAAAAAAGACATAGATAGAAAATTTTGAAGGTATAGAATTTTTTGAAAATTCCTAGTTTTTCCGTTATTTGCCGATTTCTGAAAGAGACCTGTTTTACACTTTTCCAGTACATAAACAGGAAAAAGGGGAGTTGTTCAGAAATCGGCAAAAAACTGAAAAACTAATTTTCTAAAAAATGCATAACAGTAAATGTTTCAATCTAGGTCTGTTTTATATCCTCCGAAGTGTTCGGTCTAATCCGACACTTGACAGCCGAGCTTCAGACTCCTCAAAATGGTTGAAACCTACTGAAAAGCAAACATTTTGAATATATTCATCAGTACCGTCTATAGAAAAAAATGATGATCTGCTCTCTGGAGAAATTAATTTTTTCCAGAAGGGAAATAGCTCGAGTATGAACGATGAATACGACCCAGAGGAAAATCTTTGGCCTGGCTCACCACAACGCAACTCATCGCCAAACGATGCGTACTTCCCTGTAAGCTTTATATTTTCAAATTAATTCCAATCAAACCTTACATTTTCAGGATCCGAATGTGCCATCAACATCAGCTGCATGGGACGCGCAGCCTAGTTCTTCCTCAAAATCGTCCAGCAGAGATTGTGAGCCATCTACCTCGTCAGCCTGGTACAAAAATCAGCCTTCTACATCCGGACCACCTGTATATCGTCCCGCCCGTCTGAGAAGCTCGGAAATGGACGATGAAGTCTTTGAAGAGACCGTGTACGAGATTGATGAAGCTGACATTTCTTCTACAATCACCACTGACGCGGATAGAGTCGAGCCAAAAGCGATGTGGAAAGACCCAGAGCATATGCCAGAGATCAAGCTCATTGAGAGAGAGGAGCTCAAAAAGATGCCTGAAGACTACATTAGTGAAATCCGAAAGGAGCACACTGAGGGCAACAACACATTCCAACCATATCCAACCGAAATGGAAACGGAGTACATGCAATTGATTCGTTCTTACTTCACATGTCCATGTGTTGTTCCCAAGAATGTTGTTGGGTCTCGTTTCGAAGTATACATTCGATTCCCATTCCTCCAACGTCCACTCTACGTGCAGAATGTTATTGCCGCACTTCGTGCCCCGGATAATAATGGAGACATTCTTCCTCAAATGCCAGAATTCATTCGAGAGATGAGTGTCCCACAGTTCTTCAAATATGCTGCTATCATCTATATGGGTCTCAACTTCACGAACTGCCCGACGACATCTGTCATTTCGGCAGAACAAACGCGTAGAGCCAGAAGTGCGTGTGCAAACTCAATACAGGTGATCATTGATCGTCGATATCTAAATGGTTATCATGACGTGGTTTCTGCCTTGGGTAAGTTTTTGTAGCAAAAAGATGTCAAAAATGTGTTAATTTTTCAGAAGCTCTCGATATCACGGAAGTGGATATGATCATAATGAAAATGGTGCGAGATCAGCGCGTTGAAGAGAACACCGCCGCCATTCTCCGGAAAATGCTGCAACCACGAGTCACAAGAGTCATCCATTCGTATTCGGAGACTGATGCCAAGGCAGTTCAACATCACGAGAAACAGGACGATGCGCACACGCCCCAACTTCCAGAATTTGGAATTTGGGGACCAGATCCTGATCCACCTCAAGAAGAAGCTGAGCAAGCTGACAACAAGGAGGAGCCAATAATGGCTAACATCAATTTCCCAGCTAGAGCAGTAGATAATTCGCTGACTGATGTAGAGTTTTCACCTGCTAAAAACCCAACGACACCCATTAAGAATGGTAATTCTGGTCATCAAACTGCCACGTCCGCCGAGAAGGTTCTCGTTGAAGAGAAAGCTGCTGATGAAGCAACAACTTCAGCTCCTGCTGATTCTGGAGAAATCAATCATGATCCAAAAGTTGAGAATCCGGCAACTATTCAGGATACTTTAATTCAGCCACAAGAAGAGTCATCGGAGGTTGAGGAGAACCAACAATAACTTCTCAGTCTGGATTTTCTTTTGTTAATAGTCTGTATAATGATAATATCACAGTTTTATAATATTCTCACCCTTCTAGGCAGTTTACACGCCAATTTAATTCTCCCCTTGTATTATAATTCGTCCCATAGCTTCCCATCTATTGTAGTTTATTTTGGAATATTTTAGTCCCCGTTTTATATATTTGAATTTGGTGAATTTCATCAATCAATTCTCCTGGCTCTATTCCAGCCATTATAGCGTATTTCTGGCTACTTGAACCCCGTTTATGTGTTTAAAATCGGTGTTTTTTTCTTTCTCCCGGCTATCACTCTTTCTGGCTCTATTTAGAGACCCACTTGTCCAGTCCTGACTTTTCTCCAGTATTCTCCCTCCCACATTTCTACACTTTTAATACCATCATTCAAGTTTTATATATATATTAAATCAGTTTCACACGCCAATCAATACCCCCTTGTACTATAATTCACCCCGCTCCTTTCTACTTATTACATAGTTTATTTTTGACAATTTGGTTCTCTGTTTTATACTTTTACAATCGGTGAAAACTCTTTCACCCCACCTATCCCTTCCGCCGGTTCTGTTCCTCAGATCCCATTGCCTTTTTATAACCCCTTGCCGTTATCCCATCATTCCAGTTTTTTTATTGCATTTCTTGCTATTACATTTAATCAGCGAATATGAAGATAAGTGGGTACAAATGTGTTTTCTATATTTTCAGATTCGATAATTTTCAGGTTAACAATTCTAGAAAAACAAGCTACAACACTTTCAAGTTTGTTATTTTCAAGAAAAATTTCGAAGGTTGTAAAGGAGACATGGATTGAAAATTTTGCATTAACTGGACTTTTTGAAAATTTCTAGTTTTTCAGCTGTTTGCCGATATCTGAAAGACGCCTCTTTTGGCCAGTTTTTGTACTCAAAACGTGAAAATAACAGGCGTCTTTCAGAAATTGGAAAATGGCTGAAAAATAGGAATTTGCAAAAAAATTCTGTGAACGCAAAGTTTTCCATCTAGGTCTGTTTTACAGCCTCCAAGTTCACAAAGTAATTGGAAATTCGACAGCTCCAGACTACTGAAATCAGCTCCAGATTCCTGAAAATAGTCAAAATGACCCAAAATTCATTAAAATGTTTTTTTGTATATCTTTGAGCGGACCTGTACATCAATCGAGAGTGATGAGGGAACATACAATTTTCAAGTTTGATACTTTGGTTTTAAAAAACTGACTATGCAAACTTGAGCTACACGAATTTTCTTCTTCAGGACATCATCATTACTTTGAAAGTGCTGAATCTCAATTTTGCAAAGTTTAATTTGTCCCCATTTCATCTTCATTTATATATTCATCTCAATTTTTTTTTCAATATAAATGCGCGACCATCTTCCCCCTCCTCCACATTTTGCTCCACTCTGAAAACGAAATCCGACCTCGTGCATATCATTAAATTAAACGACGAAGAAGATGTGAGCAAAATGCGTGCTCATCACAATTTACAGCACCCCTGCGCGGCGAGTGTCCTGAGACACTCATTAACCCAATAGTTTTTCATGACGTATTCTGCCCCAGCCCGTTTCCAATCTGGTAATGCATGGGGCGAATAAAATTTGGTGCAAAATGAAGAATTGCAACTGAAATTTAATAGTTTTTGCGCGGACACGACGAGTTTACACAAAAACCACTAGCATTTAGTGACTGACCTTCGTTGATTTTATTCAGCTCGTGACCAGTCGCACCCAAAAAAAGCTTTGGTCGCAAATAGCTTATATGGAATTCCAGAATTCGTCGTACTGGGAAACAGCCATGATTTCTTCATGCAACAAAATAACCGAGTGGTTCTTTCCATGGGTGAGTGTTGCCGTCAAAAAAAATTGTTTATGTTTTTAAAGGGACTTCGTAAACGTTGGAAGTCACCAAAACTTTCTATAGCATATTCCTGGTACTTTCCTAAATGCAACTTTGTCCTTTGTTAGCACATTTGTACGTAATTGATACGAATCGTTTTTCAGTCACGAGCTTGGCTAGGCTAGTTTAAAGGAGTAGTACTGTTAAAAGGAGGTAGTAACATCCCGAAATTGATATGAAAATAACTTGTCAACCGCGTAACTTAGACAGTAGTTGCAATCGGCTAAAATTGTATTAAACTGACTTCATCAAGGGGCTTTTGTTGTGACCTGTCTACTTTGTGCTCAATCATCTCGATTTCTTGAAACAATATCAAAAAAGTGTCAACTGATAAAATATTGGTAGTTTTAAGAAAAATGATTTGTCAGTTGAAAATTTTTGATATCTTTTACAGTAATCGAGATGATTGAGCTCAATGTTGGCGATTGGAATGGTTTTCCATAGGAAATGTGTTAATGAGAAACCTTCTTTATGCCACACCTCCTTCAAAAAATGTTCCGCATTCGTGCTCATTATTTCCTTTTCAAACTGTTATTCTCAAAAACACCTTGCTTTTGACGTAGACGACGCGTGATTTTTTACATGTTTCGTTCTGATCAAAACACTAAATATTCGAGTTGTTTAATTAAGTTTCTAACCTTACTTAATTTGATTTTGTCTGAAAATGTGGGGAGTTTCAGCTGTAGCTGTGAATGTTTTCTATTATATTCCGCTCGGTTAATAGAGAAACTATTTGAAGGTTCATTCTTAATTTTTTAGAAGAACAATACGCGTTTTCTTCAGTCTTTACGGTTACCGTATTTCCTCTGTAACCCGCCTAAACCGTCAATTTTGAGCTCAATACTCTTATCACCTGTAAATTATATCAAATATCAGTTAACTGACAGAATGTTCACCGGAACATGAATGATATTTTGTCAGTTGACTACTTTTCAATATCTTTCACAGGAATCGAGAGCTCAGAATTGACAGTTGGGCTGGGTTTCTATGTATTAGAGAAAATACGGTATTTAGCTTTATGATTAAGCTAAACGGTATTTTTCGTAGTAGGATCTGTAGACCGCCGTTCTATTTTTTGCTTGTACCGGTTTCTAAAATACTTCGTTCTAAAAATTTTTCGTAATTGGCTGAAATCAAATACATCTAGACACGTGTATGTGGGAATATTTGAAGATTTTTTTCTTAAAATTCAGTTAATTAGAAATTGAGCCACGCAATATGACAGGAAGAATGTCGGACGTTTGAAAACCATACTAGGAGAAGTAAATTGCCTGAAATTTAAGACCATCGAGTCGACAATCTTGTTTCTACCACTTTAAATATAACAAGAAAACTGCCACTTTTTGTGATTGACTACTGTTTCAGTATGTTTGCCGCTATACTGAATTTCAGCTTTACTAATATGGTGAGTTGAAAATGGCAAGATTTCAAAACTAGCGTTTTCTTAGTTAGACTCGATTTACAACGATTTTGTCGTACTTTGTACCGCCACCCTCGCCTCACATATGTCTTTGTTTGAGTATTTTGATGAGCATCACACGTCTTTCATCCCATTTTCTTACTGCTTCGTATTTCCTTCTCACTTAAACGCCGCATCGCACATCTATACCACCAGCGCCATCATTGAAATATTCGAATTCTTGATTGCCAATAAAGAGAAACCGAGGAAAACGTCGGGAGGTTGTTGTGTCCGTTCACCAATGTCAACAATGTAAACGACGAAAGAAGAAGACATCGAAAGGAGAAGCATGACAAGTACTCGTGATGACGTCTTCCATTTCTTCATTATGCCTGGTTTTAGGGTTAGGTCCGTCATCGGATTCGATTTCGCAGGCCTTCGTATATATCTCGATTTCAGTCTTCTTTTTGTGGTCAAATTTTAAATTTCCTTGACATTTATTTCTGCTTCCCATCAAACCTCATTAAGTCCACCTCCGTGCCCTTCCTCGAAACAGTAAACAAACGTATCGGGCCCGCCTTTCACGCCGCCCATTCTGATTCATTCCAATCAGTACTTTGTGTGTGTGAGAGGGAGAAACCATCAACCCACACATCTAATTTCCGGGAGAAGATCCTCCAGCACCACCCACGCCATTCGTTTTCTGTTTCTTGTTGATGAGACAGTGGTCTTGAGGAGTTGGAAGTCGTGTCACTTGTATACCAACAGATGGTTCTTATTCTATCGTCAGAACAAAATGCCGTGGCATTTCCTCTACACCACACTTTCTCCGGTTGGTACTTTATTCCCAAGAGACGTTTTCGTGGCGATGCATTTACTGTTTTCTAGAATCTGTTTACATGGAGATTCTTAACATATTGGGAATGAGGCGGCGGTGACTTGTAGATGAGCACAATGGTGTTATGCGAGTTTTTCACTTGTTGAATGAATCCAGTAAATCATGGTAGTCGTTTGAGTTTATGAAAAGCTCAAACAATCGCACTCTAATAGAGTGCCACCGAAACTTCAAGCTCAAAAATCTCAATTCTAGAAGAGGTTATCGAAATCTGTCAATTAGGTAAATGTTTGTCATAATGTCACCAAACTTTTATTAGTTGACACACTTTTGATATTTCTCATAGAAATTGAGATAATTAAGCTCAAAGAGCAAGTATATTGTGACTTTCTATGATTGCGTTTACGATATAGTGACTGAATTATTCAATTTATTACTATTTTAATATCATTGGTTCTTTTTTTTTCAATTTCGGAAATTCTTTATACTGACAACGAACAAACCACTTTTGTGTCTCGCAGCTTATACCAAATCAAAACTTCCGATTTTTGTGAAAAAGGGAAATGTGGAACTTGACGAAATCCAGAAAATGATTGTATTTTACATTGTTTTTCTGGAGATATTGATGTCAATCTTTACCTTTACTTTGTCCAGATATTTGAAACGAGTTTTCTAACTTTGTGAGATACCGTATTTCCTCTGAACAAATCCCACCCGAGCCGTCAACTTTGAAATAAATTATCTTGTTTCTTGTGAAAGATATTTAAACGTTGTTCACTAATAAACCGCTTGTCGAAATGTCACGAACATTCTATTAGTGGATCACACGTATTGCTTTCTGATCGGCCTTCTCAAGCCAACCTGGGTGTCAATCACATTTTTAGCACGTTACTTTGCACGTTGTCAGATTTGCTCACCATCAAACCAGCTTCATATAATTATTTTGGCATCGAAGTTCCTTTTCAACTTCCACATGACTTATTTCCACAGCTCATTATAAGCTATTTTGTGTATTTGGGACCATATCCCTCATTATTTTCTCATGTGATTCTCCGCATGAACGGAATCATATCTATCCAAATTTGTGCACGTTGCATTATATCATGGCTACCCTCCTACATATGTGATACTTGAGACTACTACTCTACCGAGTGGTGGAAATTATCTTCAAAAAAGAATGCACGTTCTAAGAGCCGTAAGTCAAGAGTGGTTATCATATTTCATTTTTCGAAACCCATTTCTGGCAGAAAAGAGCTTACTCTATTTTTTTTCTCTTTAAACGCGGCCACCGATTTTTGTTTTCTAACGTGACTTCTTTTTTTCATGAGATCTGAGAAAAGATTAAAAAGAGAAAACAAAGCCATATGAGTTCACGGGATTTTCAACCGAGCCACCGAAACTCTATAATTCACTCTTCTTTGACGTCTTCCGTCTCTAACGGCGGTATTCTGAAGGAAGGCAAACAATTGGCGTATTTGCTGTTGTGGTAGACACAAATTTGAAATTCGACCAACACATTTTTTGCCTTTCTAGGTTAGAAATATGAAAAAGCGGCCAGCGTAGAAAAAATTTGCATTTCAAATATTTGCCCTTTCCCCCCTCGCTTAATTCTATTATGACGCCACTTTCCCATTATGTTTTTTGTCAGAGTTCCACAAGGATCATCATGACCCCATTTTTTCGGAGGTTCGAGTATCACAGAGAGATTTTTTTCAGCTTCAAATTGTGCTCAGTATGGAATCATTCTGCAAGGAGGTCAGTGTCAATGAGACTTTGGCACTTGCAGCCGAGCTCAAGACGGTTAAAGAGTGGTTTACTTCTATACAGGTACAGCTGAGATTTCAATAAACATTCATTTTTGATTTTAGGTGTTCTGTTGTATACTTGGAGTAATTGGAAATGTTCTTAATATTCGAACTCTTCAAAGTGGTACATTACAAACTGTTCCTTTTATGTACATACGCGCTTTGGCATATTTCGATTTGGTAAACTTAGGAGTTCAAATAAAAACTAATTAAATAATTTCAGATTGCTCTTACTATGATACTCAATCATTTCGGTTTAATCCGATTTTCTAGCATTGCTCCTATTATGTTCTTCACAACTTATATTGAAGCTCCAGTGATTAACACATTTTTGATCGCCGGCCTATATTGTGCATTCTGTCTCACTATTGAAAGATATTGTCTGATATCTAGACCTCATCACCGCCCGTCCTCAAACCCCAGAAAACAAGCACGTCGGAAGATTGCTATTCTGTTAGGAGTTTCATTCTGTATCCACCTGCCTATGGCACTTCAACGGACCATGAGAAGAAATGATTCTGGGGAGTATGTAATGGTTAACAATATTGAAATTCTGTGCCAGTAAGAGCATGTGAAAAGTTCTAAAAAAATTGAAACCGTTTCAGAGAACCGTATTGGTCAATTTACAACTATTACAAGCTAGCTAGAGAATGTGTTCGAGTTGCTATTGTTATTATAATGACAGCGTTGAATGTTGTTATTGCAAAACGGCTGAAACAGAACGATGAGCGAAGAAATCGACTTGTCAGAAGGTCATCTCCGCAGAACAACTCCTCAAGTGGGATGGTAACAGATTCTGATGCTAGTTTACCGCCAGCCGTCAGGTATTGTAGCCCAATTTGATCAGATTTCCTAATTTTTGGTGTTTTTTTGCAGACGAGAAGAATCATATTTCCTCAGAAGTTTCACTGAGGGCCGACTAACTATTCTTATGGCCGTCATATGTTTCATATTCGTTGTTGGAAACATTCCTCAAATTGTCGTTATGATTCTGCAAAACGAGGCTATGGAGCACAATTTCAAATTTCAGGTAAGCCATAGGTCAGCGCTGTAAAATAATACTCTTTTTTCCAGCTCTATCGTCATTGCTCAAACACTTTAGAAGTGCTTAACCACTGTCTCAATTTCTATGTATTTTGTGTGGCGAGTCGTGAATATACCAGAGCGTTTGTGAATAATTGTGTATGCCTACAAAGAGTAGTCTACAAGTTTCCATTCTGTCGAAAAATTGTCTTCAGTCGGAGAAGTAGCAGGTAGAGATTTTCAGATTTTCATAGAAAAAATCATTAGTTTCTTTCAGTGTGATGGTACCTGCGGGAGGTTTCGGAATCGGAAACAGAGATTACCTAAGTATGGAGTCTTTTCATGATCCTAACAATGTTGGCGAGAACGGTAGACTTTCATCTGATTAGCGATGGTTCTATTCTTATATTACAGCTGCAAGCCCATTCGTTCATGCTGATCCAAATGTCCGGGGAATTCTTGTAACTGCTAATCGTGAAACAGGAACTCGCCAAAAGAAATCTTTAACGATTGTGAACCATAATGCTACTGATGGCGAAGGACCATCAAGTAACGGAGCCACGCAAATATAAATACTGTATTTATAATTTTCAACCAATCTTTGTACATTGAATCTCTTTTCATACCACTCTTACTACTAACAACGTTCTCATCAGTTTGTAAATAAATCTGTGTTTACTGTAATAAAGTTATATGTTCTGTTTAATTTTTAGTGGTACCATGCGAATGTGAAATTAAGCCACTTCGAACAATAACTTCAGAGCTTTTTCACTCAAAACGGTAATGTTGATTTAAATAAAAAAGCAGATTTTTAACGAACACAACTTTAAAAACTTGATAAAAACCAAAGAGTTGAGCACCAATCTGCCGAGTTACAGATTTTACTTTTTCGTCCCAATCAATATTCTTGGCTCTGGGCCATTAAGCTAGCGTGATGATATAGGCAAATGAATATGTTTTAAACTAAGAAAATAGTGTCAAGTATTATGATTTTTCTGATAGAACACCACTTGAAAAGGTTGGGAAACATTTTCGAAAAATGTTTTTATCAGAAAACGCTTATTTGAAAAATTTAGTTATTTTTGAGGCTCCGGGACGGTTTGAGACGATTCGCAGCTAAGTCGTTTTGCAGCTCGGACGTTTCGCAGCTAGGTCGTTTCGCAGCCGCTATTGCCTTGAATCAAAGAATCTAACATTGCAAGGCTTAAAGTATCTTTTTTCTTGTATTTTCTTACTTAATTATTTGTTATTCTTCATTCTCAATAGTTTTCATTAACTTTGATATACCAATTTTTTAAGGCTCCCGGACATTTCGCAACCGGACGTTTCGCAGCCGCGACATTTCGTAGCCGGACATTTCGCAAACAGACCTTTCGCAGCCAGACATTTCGCAGCTAGACATTTTGCAGCCAGACATTTCGCAGCCCCTGATAACGTCAGAAAATCAGAATTCCAAGTTCTTCGGTTGTGAAAAAAGTATATTTTAATGTCAGAAATTGAATTTTTGAAGAATTCGGCTGAAAAAAAAACAAATTTCAGCTGAAAAAATGGCAAACAAGTATTCAATCAATGGAAAACTGCTTAATCGTCACTGTTATGATATTTTTTAGAATTTCTTTTTTTTTTCTTCTAGAGTTCCAACTTTCTAAAATCTTATATTTTAAAAAGAAATTTTGAATAACAATGAAGATTGAGCATTTTTCAATTGATTGAATACTTGCTTGCTATTTTTTCAGCTGAAATTTGATTTTGTCAGCCGAATTCTTCGAAAATTCAATTTCTGACATTAAAATATACTGTTTTCAAAACCGAAGAACTTGGAATTCTGATTTTCTGACGTTATCAGAGGCTGCAAAATGTCTGGCTGCGAAATGTCCGGTTGCGAAATGTCCGGGAGCCATTTTTTAATAACTATCAGAAATACATTTTATCACATTTTTGTGTTATTTTTTCCGTTATTTTTTCTAAATTTGTGTATTTCTTCCCCAAACACTGTTGAGAATTAAAAATTACATATAATTAAGCAAGAAAATACAAGAAAAAGTTCCTTTAAGCCTTAGATTTCCTGATTTGAGACAATAGCGGCTGCGAAACGTCCCACCTGCAAAATGCAGCGGCTGCAAAACGCCCTAGCTGCACAACGCGCGCTGCGAAACGTCTGGCTGCAAAACGTCCGAGCTGCAAAACGACTCAGCTGCGAATCGTATTCCTATAAAACTTCCTGGAGCCATTTTTGAAGTCTTCCATGGGTGCCGAATACATGGGTCGTGGGGCCCTGGGAATAGGAATGCATGGGGCAGAATATATGGGTGGGTCGAAATTTCCACGGTGTCGAAATTTCCAAAGCCAAAGTGGTGTTTTCCAAACAAACTTTTAGCATAAGTACCTCACCTGTTTTCAGTCTTTAAACTATCATGCACAAAAAACATCTCACAAATATGTGAAATACAATAATTCTAATTATTTAATAGTTCCCCAAAGTATTTTTCTAGACCAAAAAGTTCACGACCAAATGAGTAAATGAAGAAAACATATATATTCAAAAATACAATTGACACGACAATTATCTCCAATTCAATATTCACAATTACTCAAAAACTGTGGAAGTTATTCGAATGAAGAATTTAAATGTAAGGTAACAGGTTGAATAATTTTGTGGGATTAAAAAGGAATGCACGGAAATCAGAGAAGACATATACTTGAGGCCCCTTTGGCCATGTTTAAGAGAGAGCAGGGAAATGTTTTTGAGTTTTTGGGTTTTTTTCTGAGAAGTCATCAAAAATATAATGCTGATAATTTGTGGCAAAATAAGCTTAGACGAGGAAAAGGACAGTGAAATAGTACAAAAAATAGAGATCATGAAAAATTAGGTGATCTAGTTTTTCGAAAGTAGAGTTTCAAAAGACGATTAAAAATTAGGAGAAAAGAGAAAGAGATAGAGAGAAATCGAGTGAAAATTAGCAAGACGGGGTTTTTTTTTAAAAAAGAAGAAAGGTATAGGATGAAAAAAGGAGAATAGGGAATCTGAAATGTTAAAAGTCAAGAAAGAAAATAGGATAAAATACAAAAAAGGGTAGATGTATAATAAAATAAAGTAAATCTTATATCTGATGTCACCTTGACAAACAGCTACATAGGTTTTTTCGGTGACAACAGACATTACATTCACAGATGTCACTATGAAGACTATAATTAGTTTTGCATACAACAAATGTGTTCAGTTATCGGTAAAATTGGTTAATAGAAAAAAGGAGAAACAGCGCAGAAGGAAAATAAGAAAAGAGGAATTGTATTTTTGGTCAACTCTCAATACCTCTGTTCTTACAACCTTTTTGTCGATGAAACTGAAAACATATGCCGAGAAATGGGGTAGGGAAGGGAAAATAATAAAAAAAGGAGTGAGACTTCATACTTCAGCCATCACTGATTTGTTGGATTTCTCAGTTATCATTGTCAACTTCTTCAAGTCCTCCTTCTCCGAGACCTTGCGAGTTTTGATTCCCAGTGTGAGTCGGAAAGCCGTCAAATAGTTGCGCCATCTGACGACTCTTGGCTCGAAAAACTTCTCCAGTCGAACTTTTTCTCTTGCGAACATGATTCGCAAAGCTTCCCTGAAAAACTATTATTTTCACAAATTTTGATTTTTAGCGAAATCGTGTTTTTCAAACATTTATTGAATTGAAACTTTCATGCTCCAATTAACCATGATGAAAGGTATTGGAAGCAGGCCCCGTAGCGGAAAAACGGGCGGTTTGGTCTAAGGCTACCTTCCCGCCGCCCGGGCCACGGTCTTGTTTTCGACAGCCTCGCTCATAATAATTATGGTAAAATATATTTTTCCCGACAAGAAGTTATTCCCAGTTTTTGATAAAATTTATGAAGATTTGATCGTTTTTTAAAATAATTTATGAAACCATAATTGTCCTCCAAGCTTACCTTTGATAATCGAACCAGGTCTTACAAACTGGCGCAGCATCGATCATTTTCTGATCTTTGAGGATCTCGTAGAAATTGCTGTAATCAAAAATAATGATGAGAAATGAAATCAGCAAACTAACCAATCGTCGCCTTCCAGATCGGGTTCTTCAGGGATTGGACCTAGTCTTGACACCACAATTGAAGCTGGGCACGGCGGTGGAACATGTGTCAGTCGATCCATTACTACGATATCCCTATCTGCTTCCAAAAAGATGACATTCTTGTCGATGTGGCACTCTATAAAGAGAATAAAAATGTTTGTATATATGTTTTGTTTAAAGTAGTTTACTAATTTTGAGCACTTTAAATTAATAGTTGTCATAAGAACTGGTCCTACAAAGGCGGGCGGACCAGAATTTTCGGAATCTCTAGATATTCCCAATTTTTAAAGTTTTCAACATTCCACAATTTCAAAGATCAAAATTTTGAAATTTCAAAATTTCTGGAATTTTTGAACTTACTGACTTTTCTTTCTGGAAACCCAGTTAGAATTTCATAGCGAAAAGCTTAGGTTTGAATATCAGGTCGGAAATTCTATAATTTACTAGAATTTTCAAAATTACTAATTCCGTTAAACTCACTTTTGCTCTATTTTTGAAATTCATTAAGATTTGGAATATATTTGTTTGTTTATCAAGCCTTTCGGCTATTTTTTATTATTATTGTTGAAAATTGGTTGTATATTTTTGGACTTAAAGCAGATTTTCATGCTAAAAAGCGGCTCAGAAATTAATGCTAAAAATCATCACAAAACTAAATGTTAATACGCGTTCTCTACAGAACTCAACTTCAGGCTTTTTATCCACTGTACAGAAAAAATCAAACTTGTTTTTTCTAGCTGATTTTTTATATATTGCATGTTTATGGACTTCTCAGGTATATGAAATATAGTTTGTCCCGACTTGTCCCACACCTGCAAAAATATGGCCGTGGGGTGTCTAAAAATTTTTTTTTCACAAATAAAAAAATTATCTGATCTTAACGTAGAACGTTTTTGGGAACAATTTTGAACATTTTCTGTATTGTCACTATACTTAATTTTTTGCATTGTCACTATTCTTTCGTCTTCCTGAGAAGTATTCAGTTTATTGCAAAAAAAAACTATTTTTGGACCAAAAAATGCCCATCCTGGAAATGTTTTATAAAATTAAACAGCGAATTTAGATTTTACGTCAAAAAATACACCCGAAAATGTTTGCTTTTGTTGAAACATCCTGGGTCCGCTGAACGTTGAACGGCCATATCATCGCCTTCATGCTTTTCTGGAGCTCGTATTTTTTCACTGAAAATGAACTTGGAAGCAATTTTTGCAGTTTTTATGGTGCTTCGGAAATGCACGAAGGCGATAAAAATTCGAATAAAAAAACCCTTCGAAAAAAATTTTTAGACACCACACGACCATATTTTTGCAGGTGTGTTGTGTCTTAACAAAAGGAATGTGTCTTAAAACAGAGGATGTGTCTTTAAAAAATTTGCGACTCTCAAAGTTTCAAATATTTCGACACAAATATTATATCACCAAAAAAGAGAAATTGCGTTTTTTGTTTATCAATATTGATAATCTATCGATACAGTAAAATTCGGAACCGCTGGTAAGACCGAACCTCGATGGTAGATTTGATCACAACATAGAAAAATTAAAATTTTCACTATTAAGCCATAGTTTTGTTTTTCATAGTAACAGAAAATAAGCTTCGAAAACGCAACGCAGATGCTAATAGAATTATTCCTATAACTTTCAAGTTTCGCCCAATATATTCCAACTTTTGTGAAAGATATCAAAAAAATTTTTATTGACAAAACATTGTTAATATTGTAATCAACATTTCATGAGTTGACTGCTTTTGGATATTTTCCACAGGTAGTGAGAAATGTAAGATTAAGACGCATTCTCTGCCAGAACCGAAAACAGTGCTGTACATACAAATTCAAACTTGTTTTTCGGAGTTGATATTATATGTATTGAAGGTCGGGACACTTCTAAGTTAAAAAATGTACATTTGGTTCGGACCCACCCAGTACGTTCCAAACGGTGACGGGGTATGGTCAAAAAAATTAAAAACTTTCCCGTTGGAGATAATGAGTAGATTTAATTTGGAATAGTTTGTACTTTCTATTTTGAGCACTTTTTGTGTTGAAACTAAAATTCTAGCTCATTTCCTTTCAGTTGAAAATTTTGAGTTTTGTTCCAATTTTGAAAAAAAATTATTTAAAATCTGTCGTCGTAAAAAATTTTGACATTATTTCCAAAAAAATAACACCAGATTTAAATCCGGCACAAAAAATAACCCTAGAAAGTTTTTATTTGAGTTAGAACATCGTGGGTCTTAAGCTAGTTTTAGGCCAAAAAGTGCACATGGCAACTAAAATTTGTCCAAAATCGACCCTCTCCAATTTTGATCAAATTTGTATGAGATATAGTAGGGGCTTAAGACCCAGAATATTCTAACTCAAATAAATATTATCTAGTGTTTTTTTTGTCGGATCTGAATCTGGTGTTATCTTTATAGAAATGATGTCAAAATTTTTCACGACAACAGATTTTCAGTAATTTTTATCAAAATTGGAAAAAAAAATCGAAATTTTTAGCTGAAAGGAAATGAGCTAGAATTTCTGTTTCAACACAACAAATGCTTAGAATAGCAAGTATAAACTATTCCAAATTAAATCTACTTATTATCTCCAACGGGAAAATGTTTCGTTTTTTGACCATAGTTGACCACCGTTTGGACCGTATTGGGTGGGTCTAAACCAAATGTACATTTTTTTTAACTTAGAAGTGTCCCGACCTTCAATACAAATATTATCAACTCCGAAAAACAAGTTTGAATTTTTCTGTACTGTGGACAATAGGCTTGAAGTTGAGTTCTACAGAGAACGTGTCTTAAAATGACGGTTTTGTCTTTGTTCAGAGACTTTACTCCACCATGATAACATACGTAAATGAAAAGTTATTCTTGGGAATTATTTCATTTTTTCAAATAAAATATTTCTGATAAAACACAATTTGATATTCGAAAAGTTCAAATTTTTGATTTTCTCAATACATCTTTTTTGAACTTTCACAATCTCGGGTTCTATTCTATTCATACACGTGGATGGCCGACGGGCCAGCCCAGCCCGGCCCGTTCGGCCCGCCTAGGACAACTTTTCGAAAATGTTACTTTTCAAATGTGCCAATATATTTTTAATAGCAAAAATATTAATCCAAATGCATACAATAATCCGAAAAAGTAAATTTAATTGAATTTTTAGCAAAAAAAAATCAAACTTCATCAAGCCAAGGATGAATTTTTTTCTAAAAACGACCTCAAAACAGTTTTTTTTTGACAGAATTGTCCTCTAGTGCGGATTTTTGTTTATTAAAGAAAAAAGCCATCTTGAAAAATGATGATTTGCTCTAAAATTTCGAAATTTTCAAAAAGCGGGCCGGCCGTGTGTAATTTTTTCCGGCCCGGCCCAACCCGCTTTCAGAAAAATCTCAGCCCGGCCCGCGGGCCGGCCATTTTTTCCACAAGTATAGTTCTATTAGAAAAACAACTATTTGAAAACCCTTAAATTAATTTTGTAGTCTGAAACATTTGTTATTCGCCTGTATTTTCCTTCCTTTTATTCCACAAACTTACCACATGGTGCAGACAGATCACAGCACAGAACATGAGTGACAGCCTGTTCGATTGGTTTGGTGACATATGTCACTAACTCTTGGAGCACCATCTTTCCAACTTTCCGATTTTTTTCGTTTTCTACCCTCTGAATTGCAACAATTATAATTAATCAAGTTCATATCATCAAGAAATAAAAATACATGATTGAATCGGGACAGGAAGGTGCTAATATATAGCTTTGGGGACGAGTAATGACTTAGATTTCAGACTTGAATTCAGAAACTAGCCTCACAGATAAATCGACACAGATAGATAAAAAAAATTGGGACGAGATTGACTTTGAAACACTTTTTGGCAATCACAACATAAAACACGTCGTGGCTAGTAGTAAAAAAGAGAGAGACTGAGACAGAGAACTGTAAGAAAAAATAATACCGCTTGGAATTTTCAGTGTTGTTTTTGGACAATGGAAAAATATGTGGAATGAAGGAAAAGTGGAAAATTGTAGAGGAAGAAAAAACAGACGAAGAAAGAAAAAATTGCAGTCGTGTGTGAAAAGAAAATGACTAGTTGGAAGAGAGTTTGTTGAGAAAACTGGGCGAGGAAGGACACAGTCAATTACAGTCAAATTTCGATACGCATGGAGTTTGCGGCATAATTATTTATTTTTTGCTGAACCAGTTACTAAAGATTCCGAAACGTCTCTTCTTTTTCTTCTGACTTCCGGATGAAGAACTCGTCGAAACGTTATCGTCTGTCGTATTTTCTGTCGTGATTCCAGTCTCCGTATTGTTACGGGAAGCTGTGACCGTCACTCCTGATGTTGATGAGGGCACGCCGTGTATATCCTCATACGTGGGCATTGGCAAATCAGAGAGCATCTGAGCAGCAGGGCTCATTCCTGTTCCAAGAGTGGCAGGGAATGTGGCAACAGTGTGCACACTTTTTCCACTTCCAGATCTTCGAAGCTTGCTACCCGGGCGAGTGGATGGTCTAAAAATGCGCGAGATGAAATTGTTAGACTCATGTTAACATGTCAAGCAGTGTGGTGCGTGGGCGCTGGCACAATTATAATTATCTTAAAGTTTTCTTAAACTTTGAATTTTATTTTTCTCACGCCATTTTTTGATTTTCAATTTTTCAATTTTTCAAGTTTTAAACACCTATTAACGAGATTTTCAAAAAAACATAGCATAGAACTATAAACTTCGTATAAACAAAATCCCAATTTTTTATAGTTTTGCTGTTATTATTAGCCAAAAACAATGGCTATTAATAAGACGTTTAGGGAACTAAGATCTCTAGAAATAGGAAGTTTCGAGCTTACAAAAATTTGAGAAATAATCAGTAAAGAAAATCGATCGGTCATGTAAATGTCGAAAGATTGTCGAAAAAGAGCCAACATTGCAGTTTCGCATAATGCGAAAATTGCCTGTAGTCAGCACAGCGACACAAAAGATGGCAGCTATTAGATGGAGACTTGATCGACTTCGGCAAGTATATAGACTTCTTCGAATGGTTAGAAACAAAGAACTACGAGTTTTGTGTGCTCTTTATTAGTCGAAAAAACTACGAGCATTATTTCGCAATTCTAGGAGCATACTGTAAGAATTGGCTCAAAAAAGATTGTGTACTAATCTTTTCAGTCGAGTCAGATAGACCTGTCCTCCTGACCAATAGGAATCAAAGCTCGTTAATATTCGCAGCTCACAAAAATGAAAAGTTTCTTCAAATTTTCAATAATACTTTATCTGATTTTTGGAGAAATCCTCGAAAAGTTGGCTTACAGGACATTTCTTCAGGCACTGCTAAGTTCGTTTCTGCGCTCTTTTCAGTTTTGATTCAATGATCTATGAAATTACAGTATCCTCTTGAAATCGGAAAATGAATGCCCTTAACTGTTCAAATACAGACATTCCCTCAAACTTTTTTTTGAATAACTGGACTCCTCGAAAAAAGGTTCCGTAAATTTTGTTTTTTTTTTCAATAGACTCGCTGTTCGTTTTTCAGAAAATTCAGATCTCATATACCATTATCTCATCAAACAGAGTTTTCTTCTGTTTCTCGAGATAAAACGAAAATGGGAACTCTTTGTAATGCGATAATACTATGTAATCATCGTCAGGACGACTGTAGGCTGAGGAAAAAATATTTTACGCCCACGGAATCCTATAAAGTCTTTATTGTTAGATCTCATTTCGCTTTATGAAATGGGAATACAAAAAGCTTTTTGAGAGAAAGACAAGATCATTTTAAAGGGAAATAGAAAGCAATTAGGCAGCACATGAAACGCGCTGGAAATCTTAATGAAATCGAAATGAGAGAATTACTGTTTTTTATTAGATAATTAGCCTACAGTGTACCATTCTAGATTTAGAATAGGTCCGAATCTGGAAAACGCGGACGAATAACTCCCCAAAGATTTACAGTACCGGTCAATAAAATATACAAAAACTGTTTGATTTTCGGCCATTTTTACCATTTTCAGTAGTCTGGATCTCGGCTGTCAAATTCTCTCTGAAAATATTTTAAAGTGTGAAACCGACCTAGATTGAAAACTTTGCATTCCAGGGTTTTTTTGAAAATTCTAAATCTTTCAGCTATTTGCCTATTTCTGGAAGACATCCGCTCTTGGCCCGTTTTGGTACTGAGTCTTTTTCAAAAATCGGGAAATATCTGAATAACCATGAACTTGCCAAAGATAATGCGAATGCAAAGTTTTCAATTTAAAAACTTGACAATCAACCTTCAGTGTTCTGGAAATGGTCAAAATCAACTGAAAATACGTTTTTGCGTATCTTGTTGATCACTACTGTAATTCTTAGAACTATTTTATTGCCATTCAGGTATTAGAAACGCCCACTCTGCTTTTGACATTATTTTTTTCTAAATTCAGTTTTTTTTCCTACTCACTCATATGGTTTCTCCTGAGGAGCATCCGTAGCAACCATCTGCTTCATATTATCCAGCCAACTTCGTATTTTGAACAGATCGATTGGATCAACGTTCACACTTCCCGAACTACGCATAGCTGGCGAAGAGTTGATTAGGAGAGCGGCCCCTTCTTCGGTGAAAAGAAGTCCTTCTTCGTCGCGCTCTTAAAAATGAGAAGGTATTAGAACTTTTTGCTCTAAATGTTATTTAGTTTTTTAGTTTTAGATTTTTATTTTCACACCGAACCGATTCCCCTTTCTTATTTCTTAATTTAGCAATCACCGCGCGTGCCCTAAACGTCTAGCCATCCCCAGAAAACCCCTATCAGAAATAGAACCCTATGAAACAGATGGAATATGATTTAATGAAAACTGCGTACGCACGAATAGAAAAAAAGAAGGAATAAAAAAATAATGACGGAACAAAATCCACAAGGATCACCTATTGAAAAACATTCGTTGTAGGAGAGGACGGAGGAACTTTTTGATTAGGTTTGTTATACATCCGGGGCGGGACACACGTCGAAAAATCTGCGTGCGCCTGTGTATAAGCATGTACATATACATCCAAAAATGTCAAATAGGTGGTGAGTCTGTTTTCTTAGGACTCTGACGTCAACATGATAATTAGTAGGTGAGAAGAGGATAGTTCTAACATCCGGAAGTGGCGAATCTCTCGTCGTTGTTGTTGTCTTCATTGAGCTCCGCGGAAGAGCTCCCCAGGGCCGTTTGCTATGACAACGAATAATTGCCGACTGAGCTCTTTCTTTTTTTTCCACTTTTTTCTATATCTAGACATCTTACTACCTCATCAACAATCTCAAGAGGATTGGTAGTAGGCGTTAAAAGAGAGAAGGAAGTTAAATGATGAGAGCCCCAATTGTCAAGTGGATGATTACAAATTGGCAGACGTCAACAAAACTTCAGATAGCGTCTCAAGAGAAGCTATGATGTCAATGGTTGATAACCGATTGGCAGCCTAGTTTTTAGAAGAGTCGTGAATGATTTCGACAGTCACCGATTGCATTTGGAAATTTTAGATAAGCAGAAACAAGTTCAAGAAGAGCGAACAGAATGCAATGATTTTGAGAGCACGGATGGAAAACGTTGAGAATAGTGAGAGTAATAAACAAAACGGGAGAACCACTATTTTATAAATTATAGGTTTTCTTACTTCTAAAATTGCATTTTTCTAGTTTTCTTTAGAACTTCTGAAATCAAAAATCAGTTCGAAATTATGTACTGACGTTTTTTGGAGTTTGAGAAGTTTTTTTTCTTGGAGTCAAAAACGACAGTTACAGTACTCCTCAATAGGATACAAAATCTTATTTTTCAGTTAATTTCCGGCGATACCGATCATTTTCAGGAGTCCGGAGCTCGGCCGTCAAGTTTCACATCGCTTGAAAATTTTAGAGGATAGAAAACAGACCTAGATCAAAAACTTGGCATTTACAGAAATTTTCGAATATTCTTAGTCTTTCAGTCATTTGACGATTCCTGAGAGACATCCATTTTACAAATATTTTGTGCAATAACGTGAAAAGACGTGTCTCTCATAAATTGACAAATAGCTGAACAACTGTGAATTTTAAAAAAACTTTGTAAATTCAAGTTTTCAATCTAGGTCTGTTTTCTATCCTACGAAGTTTTCAAAGCGATCGGAAACTTCACAACCGAGCTCCAGACTTCTGAAAATACTCAATATTACCGAAAATTGCGTTTTTGGACAT